GAGAGAAAGGCAGAGACACAAGCAGAGGTAGAAGCAGGCTCCGTGCAGGGAGCCTGATGTGGGACTCGATCCCTGGACTCCAGGATAACACCCCAAGCCAAAGGCAGACGCTCAACCGCTGAGCCACCCAGGCATCCTGCCTTCTGTTTATTTTCCAGAACTATTGACCATACAAAGTATTTCTCTAAGTCAGCTATATACATTGTTCTGTGTCTCTGTGTGTGTCTGTGTGTAACTGTGTGTCTGTCTGTGGTATCTGTGTCTGTGTGTGTCTCTTTGTGTCTATGTGTGTCTGTATGTCTGTGTGTGTGTGTGTTGGAGTCTGTGTGTATGTGTCTGGGTATTTTTGTGTGTCTGTGTGTGTGTGTCAGAGTCTGTGTGTGTGTCTGAGTCAGTGTGTGTGTGTCTGTGGGTATCTTTGTGTGTGTGTATATCTGTGTATATGTGTGTGTGTCTGTGTGTGTGTGGATATGTAAACTTGTACCTTAACATAGGTTATGTATCATCACCTCAAAGCACTTTTTGTTTAATTGCATCCTAAAAATGCTGCATTAGTTCCTGTTCACGAATACTGCTCCTGTGTAGAGATCTACCATAGTTGTATGTTTAGATGTTGGAGTGTCTTGGACTTTATGAAAAAGTTCTTCTGTTTCCTGTATTTTTATAGTTTCCTTTCAGTATCCCATTGATAGTGACAACTGAAGTGTATGAAGCCAGCTGCCACTGATTACAGTCATCTGAGAAACCTTTCTTTCAATTTTATGTTTAAAAATATACCTTCACACTCTTTTAATCAAGATCTTGAGTTGGTAAGAGGTGAGGATATGAAAGAAGCACAGTGCTACCTTGTCCCTCTCCTGCTATGTTGGTTTGTCAAGCACCCACCTTGATCCCAGGGAGAGGGGCAGGTCAGGTGGGTTTCTTGTGGCTGCCCTCACGTGCTGTTGCTCTCAGTGTGATTCTGTGACGCACACTTGGCCACTAGGAACAGGAGGGCAGCTCATCACCAGTTACGTTCAGACTTAGGTGTTTGACGGGAGTGGGTGGGGGGGCAAGGGTGTGGAGGGACCCAAGGAGGAACAGCTGCATCAAATACAACTATAGCTGATCCACTGTGGCAATTCAATAAGTAACTTTCAATTTTGAAGCAAAATTTTATGGCAAATGAGTTACAAGAAGGAGACGAAATTTTGTGAAATGCTCATCAAAAGTCAAGGGTTCTTTTTAAGGCTGAGAGCACAAACACTTCACCAGCACTGTAGCTTCGTGAAGCAGAGTGTATTGTAAACTCAACAGAATGCTTAATGCCTTAAGACTTGCCCAGCCTTGTGCAGGTCAGCCTGACCGCCGGCCTGGCACCAGTGATCACCAAGTGACAGCTTTGAATTGCAGGTGGAGAAGCAGGGCCCAGCATTCAGAATGAGGACTGGACCAGGGGGACTGTCCCTGAAGCTGGGAGACATTTCATTTCACAGGCTCACTCTTCAACGGGCCCTTTCCAAGGCCCTGTACTTACTTTCGTATTCGTATTTTTTTCTTAAAAAGAAAGCTTCAGTCCCCCACACTACCTGGGTCTACTCCTAGGTGAGGGTGTCTATGAACCTTCTAACATAATACCTGGAAGTGTGAGTGGCATTGTGTGCATAGGGCCCAGTCACGTCTACAGGTCTCTGGGGAACAGTCTGTAGTCTTCACTGGCTTCTCAAAGCCATGTATGACTCAATATGACAAACTCAGACCAAGGAGAAATTAAGCAACCTCTTAGTTAGGGTCTTGTAAGCCCAAAGTTAAGTGAAGGTTTCATTTGTAGAGGCCACATCTTCTTAGTACCCTGAATACATCACAGGACACACAGGTCACCAGCGATCTGGATAGACACCTGTTCGATTGTTTGCACCGCATCTGCAATCCACACCCCCACTCACTCACTCACTCACTCACATCCAAACACTTAGTACCTGCACGGTCCTTGCAGCCATGCAGGTCCAAGGACCCAGAGGTGAAGTAGACAGCCTCCCACATTTGAAGAACTCATACCGCTTGTGTCCTTGGAGCTGAGGAAGGCTTGCATTCCTTCCCAAGGCTGCTGAGTCCAGAGGAGCGCTGTCCTTGAGATACAGAGACTACTTTTAGTCAAAATAAAAGTTTGCCAACATAGTCTTCGCCCAAAATATCACACAGAAAGCCAGTCTCACAAGAGAATGGTCTGCTGGGACGGAGGCAGTTTTGGGTGTACTTCTGGGCTCTGGGCACGGCCCCCACTGCTGCAGGGAAGGAAGCCCCCCCTCGTTCAGCTGCATGCCCCCTCTTTGAGGTGTGGACACCAGCAGGGTGAGGGCCCACATACCTGTGCAGCAGAGAACTAAATCATGATACGACTGCCATTGGGTTGGAAAATTTATCCTTTTAGTTAACAGATTGGTGGTGTTTTGTTCTGTTTTGTTTTAACTTTGCAATGAGTCTCCTACAGTCAAAGCAAGATTTCTTGTACATCCACCACATGCATTAGCCAGTGGACATTGGATTCTAAATGATATTTTTATTTCCCCATTGCTATACTTCATACCTCTTGTTACTCATCTGAACTAACATCCTGTTGGTTCTCCATCAAACGGCCACTGCCCCTCCTTCCCAAACCTTCAGCCATCATCCTAACCTCAGTGCTCATCACCTCTCACCTCAACTCGCCACTGGATTGTCTATTCCCATTCTCTTCCTCCCTCCAACCGACCCTGCACCTTCCTGGGAATTCCGGTCTCCATGATTCTCCAGTGCACGGTGAGCCCCACACAGAGGGCGAAGGTGTCAGCGAGAGATCCTTAGGGAGCTCAGAAGGGAAGAATAAGCAAAATAAGATGGCTGCTGCACACATGTGCTGCTGTGGATTCCTGGCTCTCCCACAGACATGCCATATGCTGTCCTACCCTGGCTTGGCCCCTCGCCCCTCACTGTGCTCCTCCCGTCAGTGCTCCCCTGCCCCCACCTCCACCTCCATCTTTCAAAGGCTTGTCTCAGGTCTCAACAGGGGAGGCACCAATTCTAAACCTAAGATGGAGATCTTATATAATAGAATTAAAATCACGCTTTCAAGCACGAGAACCATCTTGACAGCAGCCAGGTGCCCCTTCCTTGCTCCTCTGCACACCCAGCAAAAAGCACCAGGGAACAGAGACCACCCAAAAAGCAGTGTGGCGGTGACTCCTAGTTCCTCATACTCCTTCCAAGCAGGACTTTCCAACCTTTTCTTTGTCTGGCACACAGAAAAAGTGACGATGGCCACACAGCACACCAGAAAAACAGAGGGAGCTGCATGTGGAGGGCCTATGCCTCTGGCCACCCAGACCCATTCAGCTCCCTCTTTGAGTTTGGAGCAGCCCCAGCCAGCAGCACCCCCACCCCAGGATCTCCACCCTGAGGGATATGTTTGTGGAAAACGATGGCCTCCATGGTCTCTCCTCTGTCATTCTTTTTTTTTTTTTTTTTTTTTGCCAAGTAGGGATGTGGTTACATCCGTAAAAGTTACATTTTTTACTCTACATAAATATTATGTTTCATGAATATTGCCTTGATTCTCCATAAACATGCTCTCTCTCTCTATCGCTTTCTATCTCTCTCTCTCATCTATTTTGTGTATAATCTGGGAAATCATGAACTTGGTCTGACACTTCAAGGAAAGGAAATGTGACTTATTCATGCCTAACTTGGGGCCACCGGCCCACGGAGGGTGTTCAGATGGGTCTGTGGTGAAGCAGTAACTAAGTGATAGCTGCTTCTTACATCAGACTAAAAACCTCAGCACAGCAAAGAAAACCATCAACAAAACAAAAAAGCAATTTGCTCAAATAGAGAAAATATTTACAAATCAACATGTCTGATATCTGATAAGTGAGTATGTAAATATGTAAAGAACTCCTACAACCCACTAGCAAAAAAAAAATCTGATTAAAAAATGGGCAGAGGATCTGAGTAGACATTTTTCCACAGAAGACATACAGATGCTTAACGGGTACATGAAAGATGCTAATCATCCCTCATCATCAGGGCAGTGCAAATCAAAACCACAGTGAGCTATCACCTCACACCTGTTAGAAGGGCCTTTATCAAAAAGACAAGAAATAACAAGTGTTGGCAAAGGTATGGAGAAAAGGGCACTGTTGTGAGGGAGTGTAAATTTGTGTAACCACTGTGGAAAACAGTATGGAGCTTCCTCAAAAAATTAAAAACAGAATGATCCAGAAACTCCTGCTTATTTGTCTGAAGAAATAACACTAACCCCTGTGTTCATTGTAGCATTATTTACAGTTATCAAAATATCCAAACAGCCTAAGTGTCCATCAGTGGATAAATGGATAGAGAAGATGTGGGATATATATTCCTATGTGTGTGTGTTATGTATATATGAATATTACTCAGCCATAAAAAAAGAGGGAAATCTTCCCATTTGCAACAACATGGATGGACCTCTGGGACACCGTACTAAGTGAAATAAGCCTCAAAAGGATAAATATCATTTGCGTTCAATTGTATGTGGAATCTAAAAAAGAATTTAAAAATTGAGCTCGTGGATCCAGAGAACAGATTGGTGGTTGCCAGAGGAGGGGGTGGGGGGTGAGCGAAATGGGTGAAGGTAGTCAGAAGGTGCACACTTCCAGTTGCGGCATGAATATGCCCCGGGGATGTAATGTACAGCGCGGGGACTGTGGTTAGCAATACTGTGTTGTGTATTTGCAAGTTGCTAAGAGAGGAGACCCTACAAGCTCTCATCGCAACAGAAAGAGTTGGAACTATGCATGGCAGTGGGTGTTAACTAGACTCATTGTGGGGGTCATTTGGGAATGCAGAAAACATCGAATCATTATGTTGAACTAAGAACAATGTTATGTGTCAGTTGTATCTCAATAAAGAAAAAAAAAGCTTCTTCTAGGGACTCGTTAGTTGACTGATGTCACAGTAGGGCTTTTTTTGCATCTTAAAGTCATTTTTTTCCCCCGTCTTCTTAGGGCTTCAGAAACAGGCCGACGAGTCACCTGAGCTCGGCTTGCCACCCTTCTGCTGCGGTGCGGCGGGACTCTGCTAGCTCCAGACTGGTGCTCCACTTGCAGAAACTCCATCAAGACTGTGCACTGAGGGTGTCTGTGGGCCTGGCTCTATTTGCTCTTCTTCTGGCTTTTTTGGTCAAAGTCTATAATTAAAACACAACTAAATGAAGCATTTGTGAAGAAGAATAAATTTCTAAGTAAAACCTGCAACGAACGGAAAAACAACCACGTCGGTTCTCCAAGAGCAGTAATCTATCCTGGTCTCACTGCCTCCCCTTCAGCCCTACTTTTTAATGGGCTTCCTCTGTCTCACATTGAGTTGGGCCATCGGTTATTTGACCTAAAACCTGCTAACTGTTGCCATAGCATATCTTCTAAATTAAGCTCCTTTTGGTTTATTTGCAGCAAGAAATGCAAGTGATTGCATTTTTCTTTCACTCTCCAGTCTTCAAGTCAGAACTTCATTGTACCCCGGATCCAGTCATCTTTTCCTGATGTGGGAAGAATTTTGAGACTTCAATAAACATTAAAAAAAAAAAAAAAGTACCTTTTTCCTTATGCTTTGTTTGGAGTCCCAGTGCTACCAACATCTTATTTCTCACAGCAGATGCTTTCCTGGAAGGTTTATATAGAAACCTGTGTTTAAAACAAGAATTATCTTGGAATGCACAGCGAGAGTCACCAGGTAAAGGACTCTCGGTGACATTTTCTAGAAGCATGAGGAATCACCCACTTCTTTGGCACCCACAAACTTTCAAAAACTGGGTTTGTCTAAAACCAGCTGCGCCCCGTTTCTGACAGTTTTGATCGATGACACCAATGTTTGTTTCTACCTGACACCCTTGGCCTTTACTAAATAGAGTGACTTATTTCACAACAGAAGGAATCGATGTACTAAGCCACCTTAGGAACATCAGAATTTAAATGTTATTGGGATCATCTAGGCACAGGGAATTTGGGTGCCTTCTGGTTACCACAGGACATTTCATCGTTTAACCCACACTCCTGTTCAGCTCTTTTATGTGTCTTTCAGGAATCCAAATTAAAATGTATTTGTGTCATCAGTTGGTGCAGCTAAAAGAACAAACCAAGCAAACAAAACTAGTGTCAGTACAGTTCCCCAGTATCTGGCGTGTGCTTCTAAAAGGAAAACACGTTTTGGATGCAGACCACCTGCCTGTGCCCCTCCCAAGTCCCCCAGGGGAACATGCCTTTGGGATGGCCCTGGCTAAAGCCTAGAGTCACATTGGGTAGGACACAAGAAGAGCTTTGCGCCCCTATTGACCCGAGACAAGCCCCGCCTCACCCTTTCCCCGCTATTTCCCTCTTACTCCTCCCGTTTCTTTCCTCCCCTCCTGCTCTTTGCACCCTAGTCTCCTTGCCTCCACTCTCCCTCTTCATTTGTCCTTCCTGTGAAAGAATCCAACAGCCCCACTGCCCCTCACCACCGTGGTGGGGCTTCTCAAGGATTGTTTCAGCTTTTGGGGTTGTTTCCTCTCTGCCTCTACTGTTTCTTACTCCCAGCTGGGCTGCAACTTCATTTTGCCCTTTGGTTCAAAAAGTGTAAAAGCAGGGACCAGACCATATGTGATAGCATTTGCTATACTGGTGAGCAGTTGGCAAGAGGGGTGGCTACGGTCTGAAAATCCAGTTTGCTTTTTTCCATGACCTCCTGCTGGAGGGAGGGAGAAGGGCAGGGTGTGGTGGTTGCTGACAACACAGTTCTCTTGTGGACAGGATGAGCCTGGGAGCCCTAGGAGCAAGTGCATTCATCAGGAAGGCCATCACCTTTCCAGGTCTTTCCTGGCCACAGTACTACTGCACATGGCCCACCCCTCTGGAGATAGGCCTGGCCTTGTGACCTTTGTTGGCCAATGCAACAGGAGTGGAAGGGTCCTATCTTTGAGGTAGACACGTTCAGAGCTGGGGTACATTCACCATATACTTTTCCCGCCACAAGGGTGATTATTACACATGTCAGGATAGAGCTTTCCTTGGCTGAGTCCCTGAGGGAGTCCAAGGAGCAGAGCCCCCTACCAACATGCACTAGACATGTGTAAAACAGGAAAGGAACTTTAGTTGTGTTAAGCCACCGAGATTGGGCATTGTTGTCCACCTAGAATAAGCTATCCTGATTCATTCAAAGAGTCAGCCATGATAGGATGGTTGACTTTGCATTTGTGAATGTAGCTGGTGATGTGCCTAGTATTTTTCTTGTCATGTTTTCCCTTAGTACCAAAGTCCTTTTTTTTTTCAATTTCCTTTTTTTTTTTTTTTTTTTTTTTAATAGTGGCTATTCCTGCTGAAAAGTAACTATGAAGAGATCTATCTTGGTGCATTCAGGCTGCCATAACACTTCCATAGACGGTGGCTTATAACCAGCAGAAATATATTTCTCATGGTTCTGGATACTAGACAGTTCAAGGTCAAGGCACTGGCAGATTTAATATCTTGTGAAGACTCACTTCCTGCTTCAGAGATGGCCATCTGCTTATGCATCTCATATGGTAGAAGGGGTGAGGGAGCTCTCCAGGTCTTGTAATCCCATTGGTCAGGACTCCACCCTCATGATCTGGTCACCTCTCAAAGGCTCCATCTCCTATCATCACATTTTTTTTTAAAGATTTTATTTATTTATTCATGAGAGACACAGAATGAGAGGCAGCGACATAGGCAGAGAGAAAGGCAGGCTCCCTACAGGGAGCCTGATATGGGACTCGATCCCAGGACCCCAGGATCACGACTTGAGCCAAAGGCAGACACTCAACCCCTGAGCCACCCAAGTGCCCCATCATCACATTTTTAAATAAAGAAGCTATATTAATCAGGTTTCTTTTCTCTTCCTCCCTCTCCCTGTTCCTCTCTCATTCTGTCTTCATTCATCAAGTGTGAGTAGAATAATGTAAAAAAAAAAAATCTTTCGTGAAAACTTTGCTTTGTTGCTGGGAAAATGTGTCTAAACATCAGATTTCCATATGTCTTTCCGTCAAAACATATGCTTTTCTGTTGACTTCAGTCCAGGTTGAAAATTTCAGTCATGGAGAGAGAATTAGAGTTACAAATGAAACTTCAAGGGGTTTTATCATAACACAGAGATAGAGGAAGTAAAGGAAGGGCAAGAGGGAGAGAAAGGAAGAAAAGAGAGAAGAAAAAAAAGGAAAAAGATATTCTTAAGATTTGCCTGGCCCCTGAGGCACCCCAGGATATTTTAAATTTTTGAGGCAAACACAGTGACATCTGTCAAATACCGTACAAACTAGTCACTCAAAATGGTTCCATTTCAATGTTGGAATGCACACTTTCCCATGATGCCATGTCTAAGACTGGATTTTAGGCAGTTGCTATGACAAAAAAAAAGCAAGTATAAAGTGAAAATGTGGAACAGGAACTACAGACTTACCTTATTTCACAGTTTGAGAAGTTGTGCAATGCCCAACAGATGCACATGTTCCATTAATCAGTAATTATGGTAATTTTGGAATAAAATATAAAGTAAAAATAGGTTTACTTCAGTTTACTTATATTACTTTTTCACACAGATTTTATAAGATATTTCAGACACAGGTATTTATTAAATTGTTAGTACCTACCTGCTTAGTAAACAGAATGGTTAACTGTTTCTATTTGCTAGGAGTGTCATGAATCGAGAAAGCTTGAGAACCTCAGCTCTGTGGCATAACCTATAGAGGATCCATGCCAAATTTATATTTAATCTGGGATTATAATTATTTCTCAAAATATTTTTTAGTCTTTTAATTTATTAATAGTATGTGTTGGATAAATTTACATTTGCCTTCCCACTGAGCTAGAATTTATGATGTTGAAACTATAAAATTTGCAGTGCATAGGTGGCTCAGTCAGTTGAGCATTGGCTCTTGGTTTCAGCTCAGGTCATAATCTTGGAGCCCTGGGATCAAGCCCCATGTTGGGCTCCATGCTCAGTGGGGAGTCTGCTTGGGATTCTCTGTCTTCCTCTTCCTCTCCTCCTCCCTCCCTCTCTCTCTAATAAATAAATCTTAAAAAAGGAAAGAAACTATAAAGAAAAACTTACTGAGTTAAGGAACTTATGTAAATGAGTCAAGGATCTGAATCAACTGGATTCAGACCTCAGTAGTTTCCTCAAATCTCAGTATAAATTAGAGGCAAATAATTTAGGGAAAGAGCATGAGGTTTTTGACATCTGCAGTAGTTCAGTTTAACTTGCAGCCAGGCCAACTTCTAACCTTCATCTGTAAAATAGAGACACGATTCCACTGCAGGATCATCGAAAGATGAAATGGGATCACACATATCAAGCAGTATGTCCTTGGCACACCTAATTTCTTCCCCTTTCATGATTTACTTTGCCCATTTAAACATGAAAACCAATTTTATAAATAAGGCTAGGTGGTCTTAAATTCTGATATTAACACATGACCACCCAAAAGAATTATATATGGAATAAAAAGATTCCTGCCTCAAGGGACTTAGAGTCTAATTCTAACAAACGCAGCAAAGGAAGAAAAATTCAAAGAAAATGGATTGCAGCTGTATTTGAGGAGATCAAATTAATGAATGGTGTGGGGCACAGATTTGGGTGGCCAATCTAAGATCAAGAAGCAGATTTTCCATGGCCAAAGATGAAAAGAGCAAGCAGACTAATAGGAGACCTAGAAGTCATGCCCTCCCCCACCCTGCCTTGGGGGTAAAAGGAAATGCATTATTATTCTTCATTACTTTTCTGTCAATTATTTCCTACCGGTACTGTTTCTAAGGGTTCCATACCCAAAATATCCCAACTGTATAGAGGTTGGAGCAAAGAGTTTCATTTGGTCTCTTATGGTCTTCCTAGTTAATGGACATCTGACTATACTTACACATACTGATAAGGCAAGTTCCCAGGAAAAAAAAATACATTTATGTAATTAAATATACATATTTATTTAACATATATATATATATATGCACACACATTTTTAAAAGCCTAACCTTGGATAAAGGTAAGAGAAAACCTGGAATTCAGAAAAGCCTAAAGAACTAGAAATTTTAACTCTTAGGTTTATCTAATTTGCTCTTAATATGCCTACTTAATTGTAGTGAGTACAGATGTTACTGTCTGATTCCAAAGGTCCAAGCTTTTAACTTCTGTTTTTACCCCCAATTTCCACAAAGAGGAATAATGCATACGTGGTTTTTAAGCAGACCTAGAGATTTTCAAATAGATACAAAGCATGTTGTTGACTTGTTTTACTTGGGCCCAACCTTTGTGAACTAAAGCATACCATCCATACAGTGTATGCATAAGTAATGAGGCTACTTGCAAACTACAGCTTACTTTTAAATTGAGTGTTATCTCCCTTGAAGAGTCACTTTGGAATGACTCCGATGACACTCAATCCTGAATGTAGCTCCTGGTGCTAGCTTGTGAGTCTCTGTCCTTGCAGGAGGAATTTCTGTGATATCTTTACTCTTCCAGGTGTGATCTGTTTTGAAATGGCCAGAAGTAATTTAAACATACCTGGTGAGTGAAGATTAGATTGAACGAGATATACTGGTAGGGGTCCCTGAGAAAATATTTCCGTGGACATTGGCCATCTTAAGAAAATGCCTTGTAGTAAAACTTTCTTCCCTTAAACACTAGACTTTCCCCTGAGCAGCATGGACAAACAGGAGGAAGTGGCTTCAGTAGTGAATTCTACAAAACATATATAAAGAATAATGAACACCCATCCTTCTCATACACTTTCAAAAAAAATGAAAAAGGAAGGACATTTTCTAATTCATACTATGAGGCCAGCATTACCTTGATACTAGAGCCAAATAAAGATACCACAAAAAAAAAAAGAAAGAAAGAAAGAAGAAAGAAAGAAAGAAAGAAAGAAAGAAAGAAAGAAAATGGAGAACCAATGTCCATTATGAATATAAATGCAAAAATACTTAAAGTATTAGCAAGTTGATCTCAACAACATATTAAAAGGATTATTTACCATGACATGGCAGGATTTATTCCAGGAATGTAAGGGTAGTTCAACATAAAATTGACATTACATATCACACTAATAAAATGAAGGGGAGGAGTATC